CAGACAACAGTTCCTGCCCTAGTTTTCCCTGTCTTTTCTATTCTTCTGCTAGTTATCTACCCATTCCTAACTGATGTGCTTGAATTGGTATTCTTAATTTTTCTGTTTTAGACATTGTCTTATGTCTTTTATGGAAGATGACCATTGAGCACTTATACTGTTTTCTCCTTTGGTTTCACTCTTCTTCTTTCTAGTATGGGTATTTTAACATTTAGTTAAAATCATATTTAGCATTTATATCATTGTGACAGTATAAGTGTTCATGACAGAACTACAAAATGTATCATAATTATATCTCCCCACCCTTTCTTCCTGGTTTGTATTTTTAAATTTCTCCCTGTAATATCTCTGAATTTTATAAGGGCATTTGAAACTGTAATTGCCAGGCCTTTACCACACCTAACAAAATTAGCCAACAATGTCTTAATTTCATTGATTACCCAGCCCATATTCAGTTTTCTTGATTGTCTCAAAAAATTACCTTTCACAGTTAATTACTTGAATAAGGAACTAATTAAGGTCCATAAATTGCAGTTGTTTGTTATATGCCCTTTGTTTTATTCCCCAACACTTTCTCATCCTCCCTTTATTTGTAACATTGATGTTTTTGGAGAAATTAGATATAGAATGACTTATACTTTAGATTTGGTTGATGGCTTCCTTACCTTTTCCTTTAACTTGTTCTTCTGTAACTCATATTTTCCACAAACTAATGGTTATAGCTAGAGGCTTGATTAGGATTTAGTCTTTTTTTGTTTTTTAAGACAAAAATACTCCATAGGTGGTGCTGTGTACTTCCTATTTCATAATGTCACAAGGCAATAATGTATAATTGTACCACCTTGAATGGTGATTGAATTGATCAGTGGGCTCAGATGCTGGCAGTCTGATCTTTTATGACCAAGTTCTCTGTCAACTTTTCACCTCAAGTTTTTTTGTTTGTTTGTTTTGCAGTACTAGGTATTGAACCCAGGGTTTTACCTTTAAGCTCTGCCACTGAGCATATATTCCCAGCCCTTATTTATTTTTGTTTTGAAACAGGGTCTTGCTAACTTGCTCAAACTAGCCTGAAACTTGTGATCCTTCTGTCTCAGCTTGCTAAGTAGCTGGATTACAGGCATGTGCCACCACACCTAGCACATCACATGGTTTTTAGCATCCATTAATGATTATGTTCTAGATCTGTTATTTTATGGGGCTCATATTCTGTCTTTTCATTGTGCAGTGCTGATTACCCATTTTAACTTCAAAGGGTCATCTTATTTTGTTCATTTCCAAAATCTGTGTTAGCATCAAGGGGTTTCTGTGTAACCCTATGTACTACCTAATAACTAATAACTGACCATATTTACATGAAAGGAACATAGTTGTAGTGATTAAAATTTTTATTTGAATCTCCAGTTGAATTTTATTTTTGACTTTGAAAATAGAAACAGAAAAGTAGAAAACTTGTCAGTCATGTTGAAGAATAACTGGCTAAAATATGTGTGTGTATGTGTGTGTGTGTGTGTGTGTATTAGTAGAACAAACAAAGAGACCCTGCTTTGCTTATGGTGTCTACTTTCTCAAGGGCAGGGAAATTCTGGCCTGATAGGGTTGCTTCTTCCTGTGAGGGAATTGGAGGGAGGTACCAGAATGGTCCCTGATGACATACATGGTCGTTTGAGGACATTTTGGTTGTTTTTTTTGTTTTAGTTTTTAACTCCCCTAGTTTTCTAAGAAGTCTTTCATAATGATTTTTCCTAAACTGTATTGCATCTGAATTAGGGCTTTTCCTTTCTTCTGTGATGGGGCTTGATACCCTTTGATGTGTTTTAGCAGAATTTAGCTTCTAAATACAGTTTGAAACCTAGCTTTCTGTGTCTGTGTGTGCACATGTGCGCACACACAACACCCTTAAATCTCTCAGCTGAAGTTTCTTGTTTTTCTATCCCCCCCCCCCTCTTTTAACTGCAAGAACCTGTCCCATATGAATTAGATCAGTGGCAGGAGGAGACTCTGAAGGCATCTTGTCTTGTCTGTAAGGTTGGTACTCAGAGACATGAGAGTCTGGTGAAGAGGGGAAGTCTCTCAGCTGATAGCCTGCTTTTCAAAGAGCTCCTTTTAGAGTCAGATGAATTCTTATAAATGCCTGTGATTGGCCACTTTACTTCCAGTATTCCAGAGGTCAGGGACCTCCTCTGAAATACTCCACAGATCCAAATGTTACTTTTCCTTTTTAACAGAAAAATATTACTTTGTTTTAACAATAATTAGTATTTAATAAATGTTTTACTAATATTTTTAAATTTAATACTTAAATAAATTACTTGTAATTTTGTTTTTGTCTTATATTCAGCTTATATTTCGACTATTCTTTGAATGTCTATAGGCCAATCTGTCAGTCATATGTAAAGCCAAACCTATTTCAGGAGAGGGAAGAAAAGAATAGGTAGGAGAATTAATATGAGCCCAGAGAAAGAAGAACTGGATTCACCAACATTCCCCTCTTCAGAGTCACTGCTTTAGAGATATTGCATGTCAGTAGGGGCCTCTCTGGTGGAAAAAAAAAAAAAGACTCCTGCAAAACAAATTTAGGAATTAGTTCATCAGGAACAGGGAAGGGAAGAAAAGACTATGTACAATTCTGAATAGTGGTGGAGGGTACATAGATGAAGTCTTGGGCTCTTAGAGCTCTTCCAGGTAGTGCTGGCTGGGAAGGGAAGTCTGGCAGGGGTTCCACTTCACCTGCAATGGAAGGGATGGGCACATAAAGCCCATGGGGTACTCTGGACAGAGAGACTATAATGGGGATTAGGAAGGGAAACCCTAAATATAAACTTTACTTGTTAACCTCCTTATAGTCTTGTTCTGAACTTGCCTAGTACCAGATATGGCTTTCCCTCTCTTCTTGCTTCTACCCTTCTCCCTCAGAAACTCCTTGGCTGAGTTAATGAAGGAGACCACTTCTAATAAACCTTAACCAATGACCCTCGGATTATCAACAGAGGACCACCCTCAGTGAGAGTGTATATTCTAATGGCATTGATAGTTAAAACCTGTGTAGAGAGAAGAGGGAAGCCAAGATGTGGTTTCACTAGATATCACATAGCTCACCCTCATTTTAGAAAGACATGAGACCAGTGTTCTCACAGCAGTTTTTCCTTTACCATCAGTCATTTGTTTCTGGAAAGTATGTTTCTCTTCCAGATCAAGGAGTATAAATATCATGGGATATGGCATTGGATATGGGTCTTGGTTCATTTATATGCTGTAAACTTCAGGAAAATCACTTTTTCTCTCCAATGTGGGAAAAGATGTAATATTTACCATATCATTGTCAATAAGGAGATTCAGATGAGATTTAATATTCACTCACATGTGTATTATATATTTAAATATAGTACCTTTATTGTTCTAAAGCAACAAAGAATTTTCCCTATGACCAAATTATTTCAAAGACTACAACTTACAGGTAAGAGTCAGAACCACATGTGTTCTAATGGCTCTTCTGCTTCCCATGTGAACATTTCCCTACTCAGCACCTTGATTTTTCCTCCTATGAAATAGGCAAGAATAGTAGTTATCCTGGAGAAGAAACTTATCTGGAGAAAAAAAAATATGCACAGTAGACATAGGGTGAGTGACTACTATTATGCAATTTCCAAAACTACCTATTTCTTTTCTTGTTTTTATTTTTATTTATATATGACAGTGGAATGCATTACAATTCTTATTACACATATAGAGCACAATTTTTTTTTTTATATCTCTGGTTGTATACAAAGTATATTCACACCAATTCGTGTCTTCATGCCTGTACTTTGGATAATAATGATCATCACATTCCACCATCATTTCTACCCCCATGCCCTCTCTGTTTCATTTCTTTCAGAGGAATTTATATTGTCACAATAGTTTATTTTTGGTGCCATGCTTGAACATGGGATATGTAGTTGAAAGAAATGATTTGGTTGTCACATGATGTTGCTGCTTGCAACATGATTTTATCCCTAAAGTGGAGGAATAATGTTACCTACCTCACAAGGTTGTAATGAGGTTTTTGTTTATTCTTTTTTTGAACCAAGGGGCACTTTACCACTGAGCTACATTCCCATCCCTTTTAATTTATTATTTTGAAACAGGATCTAAGTTGCTGAGGCTGGTCTCAAACTTGAGATCCTCCTGGCTTAGCCTCCCAAGTCACTGGGATTACAGATGTGTACCACCATGCCCAGTTTATTTATTTACTCTTTGCAGTTTGGGGGCTTGAACCTAGGGTCTCACACAAGCCAGGCAAGCACTATGCCACTGAGCTACATACATGCTCCCCCCGCCACCCCCGCTGCTCCTTAAAGGGGATATTTAGATAGGATATTGAGCATGTTGTTTGGCACCTGAAGGTGCTCAGTGAATGTTAGTTTTCTTCCCCTAGCCTCTTCATTCATCCTCATCAAGTAACATTTATCAGAAATTCTAAGTAAGGCATGGCAGTGGATGCTTTAACTCTGAATGAAGGGGTGCTAAGGGAATGTCAGGTTGGGGTAGAGTGCTACAGAAGCCAGTATTGTTTGTTTGTTTTGTAGTAATCAATAATGGCTTCTCCTTTTCTAACCCTGGGCTCTGGCCTGCTGAGTCACTGTTCCAGCCCGAAGCCCCTGATCTTTGCCTATGTCTATGGAATACAGCAAAACCCACAAGAAACCAGCACTAATAAATGGCAAATCATTTGAGGGATTTTTGTTTGCATTCCTGTGCTTGCTCTCCTGGGGAGATAGGAAACCTTTAATAAGACTTTTCCGAAATAATGCTCCATGCAAAATGGGGATTTTTTTTTTCCCCTCTGTGTTCTTCTAACAAATGGCCATTTCATGAGGTTTCTTTTCATTTTTTTCTTCTTCTTTCCTGCTTCTCAGTACATTCCACAAAGAGCTTATTCCTCTGCTGGTTACTGATTGATGGTTCTACTCTATGTGCCCTCTAATTTTGCAATAAACCAACAAGAAGTTAAGACCACAAACTTAAAAGAGAATTGACTTATTTATTTGACTGGATTCACTGGAGCAACAGCCATATTTAGTCATTTCAGTGTGGTCCTAGGGAGGGCAGGAGGAGTCCACGAGCAGGAAAAGAGTTTGCCTGTCCTCCCTGTTTCAAAGCAGCTGGGCATCTGTTCTCAGCAGTGATCCCTTTCTAGACCTTGATGGAAACAGGAAGTCCACAAGACTTGCTCATAGTTCCAGGATTCTGGGTTCCATAGGACTTTAGCTGCATACAAATGGACAGTCACTACCCTACAGGTTCTGGTCCCTTTTTTTTTTTTCAAGAGGATCATGTGTACCTTAAAGGATTACAGAAGCAGTCATAACCTTCCACTATCACCAGTTCTTTCACGCCTGGACTCTTGGCTAGATGACTTCAAAGACCAATGACAAACGTCTCTTCCTACTTGCTCAGTCCCAGCTATGTCTTTATCTTAAGGATGAGATACTCCACAGGATCAGAGAGAGGCATACTTCATGTGTTGATTTTCAAACATGCTAAGAATCAATCAGTTTTTTTTCTTATTTAGCACTGCCATTGTGCATAGTAACCAGTCTGAAAAATACAAATGTCATTTCAAGTAGAAATGAGAACAAACATAAATGGTTCAAGTGGATCCTAAATTAACGAAAGTTCTTTAAAAACATACATACTATTACTATTTATACTTAAAGATTGTTCCATATTCAGTGCTGCTCTCTATAGGTTGAAGCAAAGCTAGAAAGACAAATGCCCAAATGTAATTTGTCCCAACTGTGAACTCCTATTACAGATCCCAGCGTTGTTTGTGGCTCTACCACATTTAACCAGCTAACTGCCTATTCTTATATGGCAACTTTTCTTTGGAAACTCTCATCATCACATTTTAGCAGAAGTGAAAATATTAGCAGAGTGGTTAGTGGCCAAGCCAGGAATAGAATCCAGGAATCTGTGTCCTTTCCTTTGCCATATCTACCAGAGCATGGTTCCTCCCCAGCCTGTGAACTCAATGTTTCCATCTCTACCAACCAGAATTCACAGTACATTCCACAAAGCAGTTGACTGGTTTCTTCTTGGTACTGAAAATTTGTTTTATTCTTAAACATTTTTTACATTTTCCCATTAAATGTCATTTTGCATTAAACAACATGGGTCTTGGTAAATTTAATATGAGCAAATGCTTTACTCTGAGGATATTAATCAACAAATATACATGAGGCCATGAATTTGGGGGGCGGGGGTATCAGGGATTGAACTCTGGGGCACTCGATCACTGAGCCACATCCCCAGCCCTATTTTGCATTTTCTTTAAAGACAGGGTCTCACTGAGTTGGTTAGCACCTTACTTTTGCTGAGGGTGGCTTTGAACTCGAGATCCTCCTATCTCATCCTCCCAAGTCAAGGCCATGAATTTTGATGTTGAGAACCTTTTATGAGGTAAATCAGTATAGATTAGAAAGACAGACCTGGTCTGAATCTAGCTGTCCCACATGCTTACTGTTTGATCTCAGAAAACTACTCAACTTCTTTGAACCTGTCTCCTCATCTTTAAAACTAGGGTAGTAATGTTTATCTCACTGAGTTATGAGGATGACATGTGTGAAGCACTTGGTACAGGGTCTGATTCATAGGAAGTGCTCAATCAATGCTGGTTTCCCTTCTCTTTTCTCCTCTAGAATGGGGTCAGGGTTTCAGAAAAACATAAAATCTCATGATGTTTACACTGTAGGTAGAGAGCGAAGAATAACGCACATCACACAATCAGAGAAAAATACTTGAAGTAGATTACTTGATATTAGGAAATGAAGGACTTGTTGGGGCTAGGAAAATTCCATGATGGGGTGGAATTTGAACTGACTCCTGAAAGATGGAAACTTAAGAGGGAAGGGGGATAGTCCAGACTGGAACATTTGGGATGGGGATGAGAATCAGAGGAAGTGAACCATGAAAAATACAGCAGTTAGAATGAGAATGTCAGAAGAAAGGTAATACTTGTTAGGTACTTACTAGGCATCAGACACTGTCTTAATTACTTTATGTGCCAACTCATTCCCCCTCACAATGGGCATGTTTGCTATCTTAAATGGACAGTTGAAACTGAGGCATGGAGAGATTAAGTACTGTACCTGAGCAGGTGTAGAATAGGTGTTCTGTAGCTATTAGGTGATGGATCTGAGATGGGAACCTAGAACTCGTAACACAACTGCTACTTCAGTTAGCTCCCAATTTCCCTTACCTGCTAGTGAGGACAGCTAAGACCCTTCTGTGAATAAACTCTTTAAATATAAAGTACCATGATGTCATTATTCCTGTTAATGATGTCAGATGAGAGGTAACAAATAGTCACCTGAAAAGGAGGGAGAGAAAAGTTCAGGATAGCACCTAGTGAATATGTATGTACTATATGTGCCTCACCATTCCCTCTAGCAACTCTGAGACCTCACACAGCCTCACATTTCCTCTTGGGCAGTGCTCCAAGTGGCCATGTCCAAGCCACTGGAATGGGTATCAGAGACTAAAATTGTATTTGTCACCTGGCATTGAGGCTCAATTGAGTTGTACCCATGGTCAGGACACCCATTTTAATGGGCCTGTAGCATGTGATTTGTAGTTGGCCTGTTGGTGACCATGATGGAAGATCTCCATCCATTGCAAGGACCTCACTATGAAAGGAAGTCTGCCCCTACTCACCAGGTAAATATTTGGCCATTTAATGTATTTGTTCTGGACCTATGCTTATTGTGTCTCTTCTATGTTGACTCTGTTTCACTGTAAGTTATTATTGTTTGTATTGATGTCATTTATTTAAATATGGACACAGCATTATTTCAACTCCTCCCCCCCTTTAAAAATAACACTTATACAACATTCCTTTCTTGAGGACATCAAATAAGTAATTTTTGCCTAAGAGTATATTTGTTGAGGCTGCTGACTTGGGAATTTGTTCCTAGGCAGACCTTTTGGCCTCCTTTTGAACAGGTACTGAATGACCTTTGTTCCTACTTTATACCCCAGAGTCACTGTAGAGATAGAATTGATTGTACCTGTCCAGTCAGTAAGTTTGGAGAGCCCTTGGTGGCCAGGATGCTATTCATGCTGGTGGCATAGAGATACAAAGAGGCAGACTAATATGGGCTCACCCCCCACAGGAGTTTTCTTAGAGGCTGTGTGAGACCAGAGGCTCCTCTGAGCTCTGGCTCCTGTCTGTTATAAGCCACTGTAAGTGTAGCTGGGACTGGTGGAGATCAGAGCTGGTGTTTATCAATGTGGACTCCCCCAAAAGCTGTATTTTCAGACCCTCAGTGAGCAAGTGACTCAACAGAACTATTTTCTGGGTCTCAAATGAGTCTAAGAAGGGGAAATTGGTTAATACCAGTCGTCTGTGATGGCCTGATCACAAAGCAGTGTCTTTCTAATCCTTCTTACAAATCAAAGGGAGGGGAATCCCCAGAGCCCAGGCGTACACGTGAATAGAAAGCACCACCAAGTAAAAAAAAAAAAAAAAAAAAAACCTCCTAAAAAGGTCAGCAGAAACTCAGGGGGCTGTTGGAAATTCACCTCCCCTACCTTTCTGTAGGGCTCAGTGGGCAGGGGTGAGGGAGTGGGTGAAGACAACCAAACAAACTTCGGGCAAAAGCAAGCTGGCCACAAAAAATGCACAGTGCAGCTGGTAGGAAAGTTTCTTCCACGTCCGTGTGAACCTCAGAGTCATCTGACAATGTCTTGTTCTTTTTCATGCCCTGGCTGGCCAAAGGCTGTCTTGGCCCCATGCTAACTGCAAAGTTGCACACAGTTGGCAAATGCCCCATTGGAAGCCACTGTAGCTGCCCTGTCGCAGTTCACCAACTGTGCGTGTTATTTCCTGCAGCCGGCCCAAGACCACTGAAGCGATGAGGCCACAGGGTTGGGCTGACAGCGGAAATAGCTCACTGCTTGTGGCCTCCTCCCAACTGTCGGCCCCTCTGAGTCTCAGAACTAACACGTGCTAACCTCAGCCCACTGTGGCCGGGGAAACAGCACACCAACAGTGGAACCAGAACCCTCCATGCCCATGGCTACTATACCACAGCCATTGGCCCGGGTTTCCCCCTTGAATGCGCACCCAGGAGAAGTAGGCCAAAGAGAAAGCCTCCCTATTGTGCTGCACAGTTACTTGCCCTAGCGATGCGTTCATGTTGACCATATGGCAGAAATAGCCCTACTTCAGTGCATTCCCTGGGAAATCAGTGGTCAGGAGAGGTGGCTGCCATGGAGTGGAAGGAGTACTGTTACTAGTCCCTTTGTGACTGGGTGAGTGTGTGTGTAGAACTTTGATCCTTTTCCCTTCCTCCAGCTACATTGCCTCAAACCAAGCCACCCTATTCTTCAGGGACTCTCCTAGGCAGTGCACCTCTCTAGCTTTACCTGTGGCTGTCAGAGTGATAACTACAGAAGAGGTTTCTCCTCCATTAACAAGGAGAGGCATGAATTTTATTCAGATTGAAAAAATTCTCACCATAAACACATATTATGTTAGGGTGTCTTCCTTACCCTTTTCCCCTCCTCTTTGCCTCAGCCGCTGCCAGTCCGTTCTGGGTAGGATGGTTTTCTTAAGGCTGGAGATGGTGAGAGTCAATAACAATGGTGGAATTTTGAGTACAACACTAGTACTAATGTGAGTGAAAATAGGAAACTTTTTTTTGTAGCCTGTTATATTAACAATTAATACATTAATTTCCTTTTCATCTCCTTCAGACTGAACAGAACTGCACAGCAGGTTACCGTCAGAACCAGAAATAAAAGATAGGCTGCCCAACACCCATACCTGTGTTTTCCTAAAGCCGAATTGAAGTTTGTTCTTTTTATTACAAATATTTCTAAAGGAAAATCTCCACAGCCTTTTAGATTTTCCCAGAAAACAATTGTGCAGTCACTCAAAATGGAAATAGCAGGCTGGAATACTTAAACCTTATCAGTTCTTTTTTCTAAAACTGACAACGATATTCTGTAATCAGAAACAGAAAAAAAAATTATTTTCATCATGAAATAACTCATAATTTTCCAGAGCTCAGCAAAACTAAGCCAGAGAATAGTAAAACCAGATTTGTTTTTATCTTGCTCGAATTCCAGAATATTTGGTCTGACTTTTCCTCACAACAAATACTGAATGTCTTTTTCCAGAGCTCAAGTGGGCAGGAAGGGAGTGGGCCTGGGAGGGGCTGAGTCTGGGAGTGTAGCCCTCAAGCCTTCTTGGGGGGCCTTTTCTTCTCTTCCCCTTGGCCTCTCACCCAACCTGCTTTCCTTCTTCACTCCCTCCAATCCCCCTCACTGTGGCTCTCCAGTAGCAGACGGGTTGGGTGGACACCGTCATGGTTGGAAAGCAAGAGGTGAGCATGGTGAAAACCACTCCAGGGTCTTTCTCTCAAGACTCGGCGATGAAAGGATTCAATGAACCTGAACAGTTTCTCACAGGAAAGTTCCGGCCTCTGTCTCCTTAAAAGCAAAGCATTCAGCAACCCATAACTGAGCCAGGATTAAAACTCAGAATATCTGACTTACCCAAGTCTGCTGTTTAGATAGAGAAGCTAGGTCACTGTCATATCTGGCAATTAGCATCACTTTAGAAACCAAAAGTAACATTTTTAGAACAGTGCCTGAAACCCATAGAGCATTTTTAGTATTAAAATAAAGAAAGATTAAATGTGCCTTCAGAATTGATAAAAGGCAGTACCTCATCATTTTGAAAGCACTAGGCTGAGCCCCAGTCGGATGGTGAGTAGAGTCAGCACCCACATTCTCTTCTCATTGCTCTTTCTGGATAAGCTGACCTGCTTATCCAGTGGGCTGCCAGTTTACCTGGGAGTGGAAGTTTCAAGATAATCATTGCACATAGCCCTGCTGGCCCAGTTAAAGTGATTTTTTAAAGTTCTCTATTATGTTAGATTGTGGCCTTTTTTTTTTTTTTTTTTTTTGAGGGGGGGAGGGCAGGGAGTAGGCAGGAGGAGGAAGTAGATGTTCTTATGGGCACAGAAATGCCCCTGAGCTGTCTCAGGTTGCCCCATGGTTCTACTCACCAGCCAGCCCCTTGAATTCGGTTGCAAAGACATGAGTTTCACAAAGAGCTTTTGTTTCCAAGCTTCCTGTGACCTCAGAAATGACAAACTACATGCACTGAGGCCATTGAAGACCACCAGGAAGTTTGAGAAAATTTCTGTAGACTCATTCCATACCTGAATTCATAGGAGTGGAAGCTATTTACCTACTTGGCTTATGGTTGTTTCTTAGCATCCCAAAGTTGGGCTTATTATGACTTAACATTTTGACAATCTTGTAGTGTATTTTGGACATAGGTTCATAATTTTATAGATTGAATTCTCTAGGCCAAGACCTCAACATCTAGAGAAGGTACCTGTTAGTGGGTCTGTACTGAGAACTCTTCTCTCCCCACCCTTAGGAAGGAGAGTTAAGCAGGAGGCCTGCAGCCCCTTTTCTTATCCGAGCTATTGATTTCAGGCAGGTGACTAGTTCGAATCAGTGAAGGTGATCTGTCCCCCAGAAAGCTAAACAATGGTGTTTGTCATATTCACGGGTCCTTAAAAGAATCTGACTTGTAAATATTTAGTTATTGTTCCAATGACCATGAATATTTCTGCTGACCAAACAGGACCAGATATCACATTCCAATCTATTCTATGCCTGATCAACCATAAACTCCCTCTTCTCTGTCACCTTAAAGTCAAGTAAAAGGAACTTCTTCCATCAAAGGCTATGCTTTAGGCTTGGCAATTCCTCACTCTGTTCTCTCCAAGGCAGTCTAATTTTCTCTTCTGTCCAACATACTAAATGGCTACTCATGGAATCCCCATCACCCCTTCAATGTAGGGTGGATCAGACTAGATGCATACAGTTGCCTATTAAGGCCAAATGTATTCTGAGCAGTAAGCAGTAAGCTCAAGCACTGTGTGGGTATCACCTAGATATAGTCTTGTTACAGCATAACTGAAGAAAGATGGGTCAACTGAAGGCAGACAGTCTGTACCAGACACATATACTAGTGGAAAGTCAGCCTGAATTGTCCAGTCCTGACTCTTAAGGCTGATGACCAGCTCATTCTACTCAAAGTTTTGTTGTCTTAAAGCTGCCTTTTTAGTCCCTGGTGAAAATGACTTTCATTTTTTGTTTGTTTGTGTGTTAGTTGGTTTTTCATGCTCAGGACCCTCTGCCTTCTGACCAAAACCACCTTGATTTCCCAGCAATCTGCCTTATCAGTTTACTTCAGCTTTAACTGGTTCTTGTCTTTCCATCTGTTTTCTCTACCTTACAAGTTCTTCCAAGACCTATTGCGTTGTTTATGAATCTGTGCCCTGAATTGCATTTTTTAAAAAGAGATTTTAACTGTTTCCTTAAATTGAGGAATAAGCATTGTACAACAGCGCACAGAAGGACTGAATAAGATGCATTTAGAGAAGGTAGGAAATGCCAAGGGAAATGTGGAACCCAGGGACGTGCTCTTTGAAGGCAGAAATCTTCTCCCATTTTGCCTTGGGAGGGACTCGAGGTCTATATGTCCTTATATGAAAGGCCATTTCATATACAAATGTATCTCATTAAGCATCTGAAACCTGAGAAGGCAGTGTGAGGAAGACTTGGGAATAAGTTGTCTCTCCATTAAAAGCTGAGTTGAAATCTATACAATTTATAAGCCTTCTTATTCTCCCCAGTAAAGTGGATGGTATTCTTCCTGGCAAGTAAACTTTAAGCTAGATTCTGTCTCCTATTATACAGATATACTGTATAATCCTAGTTTCAGATTATACAGTATATCGTTCCCTTTGTCCATCTATTCTACTCTGTCTTTGGGTTTACAGTTGATGGTAATGAGGTTATGTTATGTTTTTAATTAGCCATTCTTTTCAGGGAATAGCAGATGCACTGTCAAAGTTTTGTTGCTTTTGAGGATATAAGCAGCAAATATTTGTTCTTTGTCAACTGTGAGCTATATGTTGTACAAAGATTTTTATTCTTAAGCTTTTTTTTTTTTTTTACTGATAATAAAAACATAAAAGTAGTACATTTTAATGAGGTACCATATAATGTTGAGAATCAGGCTTCTGAACAACCAAGACACAAATCAGCAAAGGATAACTAATGACAACAATGGGGATGACAACAAGCCACGCACTATGCCAAGGACTGTAAACACATTATCCAGTTTAATCCTCAAAACTCTGTGAGTTAAGTGTTATCACACCCTCAGAGGTCATGAAACTTACCTGGTGTCACTCAGTTAGGAAGCGGTAGAGTCCAGCATCTCCACACAGGTCTGTCTGATTTCAAAGCCCTTGTCCCAGCCACTGCAAACTGCTTTTGCACAAGTTTAGCAATAGAAGCCCTGATCTTTCCAATGGAACAAAGAAAGCATAGGAAAGCCCCTCTGAGGTGTCAGAACTCATTTTCAGAAACCAGATAGTGCTGAGACTCTGTTTATAACTTGTAATCTTATTTTATAAGTTATTTTAAGAGCATAGTTTTCATGTCTCTAGAATGCCTCAGAGGAAAACACATCTGTAGGCTTCTGCCCAAGTCGTGATTATTTGTAATCAATGCTTTTGGAAATGTTTCCATTCTATCATTTTGCTGAACACAGATTCAGAAAACCACACAATTCAGTAAGATGATGTGATTAGCAAACCCCTGAGGTCTGATGCCATATATTCCTTCAGTGATTTGGCTTTAAGACTCATAATAAAAAGGGAGAAGATGATTAACAGAACCAATTATTAGCTCTTATTAGCAGTTTTTTTTTTTTTTTTTGCTACGGGAGAGTAAAAATGTTTTCTTTTCTTCTACTCTTCCATTGCAAGTGGAAATGAGGGAAGTTTTCTTTCTTTCATTTTCAAAGGTGCTAGGGATAAACCCTTGATTCATGCTAGGCAAGTGCTCTGTCACTGAGCTTTCCCCCATCCCCCAGCCCAGTGGGTATTTTTGAAATCAGCTATAGTTTGTTTTAGGTTCCACAGGGCATCATGTCATTAGTTCTATACCACAAAACAATCATCTTAGTATAAGTTTCCATTATAGGACCAAAATTGTGAAAAAGTGATCTAAATATTCTAATCAATGCCTTATCACTTAATTTATAAATTTCTATGGAAGACATGTAGTACCTTTACCTCTTAATGTCCTCCATGTGTATGATAACATGCTTTACTTTGCATAGTAAGTACCATACTCAGTAATTGCTTTTCTTACACTGTTACCAAACTGGAGTTCCTAGTCATTCTTATCAAGCCATCATTGAGAAGAATACCATAAAATTAAACCTTACATATTTAGAAACTCTCAGAAGTTTCTCTCTTTCTCTCTCTCTCTCTTTCTTTCTTTTTTTTTTAATTAGAACAGACAGATACATTATTTTGTTTCTTGGTAAATAAAGCACATAGTATTTTCAGAGCAGTGCCAGAATCTTACTGGTCTTGCTTTAACTAATTACTTTTTTTTTTCCTACTGTGGGCTTTTTAAAAATATTTTTTAGTTGTCCTTGGACCTTTATATTATTTATTTGTTTGTTTGTTTATATGCAGTGCCTCACATATGCTAGGCAAGTGCTCTACCACTGAGATACAACCCCAGTCCTCCTGCTGTGGTTTTTACACAGATTCTTTGCAATTAAATAAAACTTAGAGCCATCTGTGGCGGTGTACACCTATAATTCTAGGAGGCTGAGACAGGAGGATTACAAATTCAAAACCAACCTCAGCGACTTAGGGAGGCCCTAAGGACTTAGCAAGACCCTGTCTCAAAATAAAACATAAAAAAAGGACTGGAGATGTTGCTCAGTGGTTAAGCAACATGGGTTTTATCCCTGGTACTAAATGAGTAAATAAATAAATAAATGCTTAGAAGGACCCAAACTGGTAGAAATGAGGGCTGGGATGTAGCTCAGTGGTGGAGTGTTTGCTTAGCATGTGTGAGGTGCTGTGTTCAATCTCCAGCACTGAAAAAAAAATGGTAAAAATGATCAGGTACCAAAGTATTTCCTGATATAGGAAATTGTGATTTAGTGTTCTATTGCTAGACCCAGTTATCTGAAGCATGTGGCATGTACTAATTTATTAGGCCAGATGTCATCATTTTGCAGTAAATAACAAGAGTTTCTATTTATTTGAAATTTACTAAGTACCAGACACTGTGTCAAGCACCTTATGTTGATTATCTCTCTTCTCATAACAGTTCTATAAGATTTATATTCTTTTATCTGCTCAAATGGAGGAACTCACAGGTTTTGTAACTTTCCCAAGGTCCTCAGTATCGGAGTCAGAATTTGAACCCAGTTTTGTTGAATTCCAAAGCCCATACCCTTGTTATAAAGAGAGATGAACACAATTCCTTATTCATCCTCTTGAATATGAATAGTTGTTTCTTAAAAGATCAGGCTGTTTGAACATTTCCAGGCATCTTAACTGAAGACATATTTCTTCTGTGATTCTTACTAGTTTAGATGAAAGATAGCTGTCCAAAAGAATACAAGAGGTGAGATGAGCAAACACAAAGTGGAATCCCATAGTACCTGATCAGCTCTGCAGAGTAACTGGAGACTCATGAGTCTCCTTGACACATGAAGACCTCAGAGTTTGTCTCTGCTAATAGACATTTCTTAACCTTACCTTGCCATCTTGTTCTTCTCTCAACCCTCAGTTAAACTGCCATTGGTATAGAACGTATAATGTGTCACGGGTAAACTCACAGTGACAGAGGTGTGGCAGAAAAGCTGGATAATAAAGACTGGAGATGATTTCCATTTCTGTTCTCATCAGGGTGGCCACAAAACCATAGCTGATCCCCAGGATAGACCAAGACAATCTGACTGGATACATATTCCAAAATTGTGCACTAGATGCCAAATGACCTTGTCAGGGGAGACATTTCCTCCAAATGACCAAGATGTTCACAGTTCTACTGATGATGGGAATCCCCAATCCTTTTCAAATAATTGTGGCATTCAGCAGGTTACTATTTTCTAGGAAAGAATGTGCATTTTATTCTTCCTTTAAATTTCTAAACAATGATGTAGATTTTATAAGGGGGGATTTTTAAGGAAAGAAAGTTGGGTTTTGATTGTTTGTTTGTTTGTTTTGGAAAGAAAGTTTCTTGACTGTACTGAATATAAAAATACTGTGTGGCAATGGACCATGTAGTTAGGTAGTTTCAGAATCCTTTCCAAGAATTGTAAATGTTATGACTTTATTTTGTAGGATCATGTTAACTTTTTTTAAATTGCATAGTGAGGACTTTGGACTTCTTTCATTACAATTCAACTAATTTAAAAGAGGACAATTATTCCTCTAGAATTGAGTCTTATTCCTGTTTCACAAATTTGGAACTAAAATTGACTTTTGAGATAACAAGGAAGAAACCACAGGCATCGAGATTTTTAATTATTTTTATTTGGCACCAACAATATATTAGGTTGTGGACATAATTTTTTAAATTAAATGTTGATAAAATGTGTGCATGTACATCTTAATTCTGGTTATTCTGGTTTTTTTTTAGCTAACATAACACTTCTTGGTCCCAATTTTCTCATCATTTAGAAATAATTAATTAGCCATTTAAGGTCTGAAAAAAGTAACCCTCTTTTTCTCAGATTTCTGGGTTTTGAATGACCTGTAGGCCCTGCCTGAAGATAAAGTTGGTGAAAGTTAGAGCTGGGGGTTTCCTACATAGGTACTTATCAGTCTTCTCCTAAACTACAGTCTGCCTTTGGATAGCTCTAATAATTAATTTGGTCTTCTCTGTTTCTTCTCCCTTCCCCCCTCCCTTCTCCCTGTCTGTTCACAGGTTATCTTGACGAATCAAATTACAACCCATCTGAGCAAAGCCCTTGCTTCTCAGGCAGACCTGGTGTCTCCGGCTGATGATTTGTCCCTGTCTGAAGGTAAGGTATCTGTCCTGGAGAGGCTGAAACTTGACACTGACAAACATCCCACAGCCTCCCTGCCTCCTGTTGAGAGTTTAGAGACATGGCTAATGGGTGCTGGCCAGTGAAGCCAGCTGAAGCCTGGCGATTTAGGTTTAGCCACATTTCTAGGTATCTGATTGTTTGTATTTGGAGTCTCTGCCCCCACCTCTGTAGTGAGCTCCTTTTTTCACTTGAGTGAATCATCTTCACAGGTATCCATCATCTCCATCTGGAGGCTGATGGTTCTTCTGTGGATTGTCTCAGATCCTTAGGAGGTCTGGCAAACTGATAAATGATTTTGATTCTGAGACCCACACTCAAAGGTCCACTTTACTAACGGCCCCATAGCAATTTAGCCTTTTGTTTGTCTTGAGTACTTTTGGCCTGGCTAAAAGTATAGAGCAGTTTCTTATGCCATACATGTAGGATTCCTGATTAACTTTACAGGAAGCTTAAGAAAAATCTCTACAGTGGTAAACCTGAAAAATTTTCTGCTAGCAAAGGTCAGTCTGGCTATATATTTGATGGGAATGAGCTTTAAGTAGCTAGAGGAATTACATCAGCAAGCCAGATAGTAGTTTCTAGTTTTATTGAATGTTCTTACTTGACATTTCTGACTTCTAGTCAAAGTTGAATTTCAGGCACAATGTTGTAGGCCTGGGTAGATGTGCAGAGCTCTTATGGGTCCTTCTTCCCTTTCCACTTTCTGAGAATTTTTCATAATGGACTACAGGGGACTTTTAGGCCTAGCAAGGTTCCTGACTGCCCAGGTGGTCTTCTGTGGATGGGCCTTGGTTTATGATCTCAGAAACTGCAAGAACATCATTCCTGCTTCTTGCTGATGTCTTTCATGGTGAAAACTAATAGCATATTTATAAAATATAAATTTATAAAAGCTATAAAATGCTTTCTACTTTTAGTAATACATTATCATTCTCTTGCCATCTGGGCTGAAAATCTGAATCATCCAGAATTCTTCCTCCCTCAAATACTTTTCATCATCCTCTTTAGCTTTTCTATCCAAAAATATCTTTCCTCCCTTTTAAAAATAATTTATGTTGTGAACAACTGGCTTATTAAACTCATGATTGGATTATTTTTTAATCCAAAAGAGTTTGCCAATTCCAGTCTCTACCATTTTCATTCTGCTGCTACCAAATTAAACTTCCCCAATCTGATATCTTTCTACCATGTCTTTCTCCTACTTAGAAAGCCAGGAATTGTCTTTTCTGAGAATGGACAAAATAAGTAAGTAAATTTAAAATTATTCAGGGATTTGGGATTTGTTGTAATCATCAGGATAGAAGTATTTATACCACGAGAGTCAATAAATACAAAAACTCCTATGTTTTCTCTTCTGAGTGGACCAGTTTCCAGAGCACCACTAGATGAAATTAATGCTTCTTAGCCTTTAGTGTCTGTCCTTTCCTTCTTGTTCAGCCCCAGTTCCCACCAATTCCTTATGGGGCACTCCTGTGCTCCTGGTGCTGATTTTTAGCTGACCCTTCCCACAAAGGTTCCACACCTTTGCAGAGATCACTCTCCCTATCTAGAGTAGCATTTCCCTATTTCCCTTATTCACTTCTCTCGTTTCTTCTCTTCCCAAATTCATTCCTTCAAGGCTTCAAGACTGCCTCTTGCAGAGTCTTCTTGCTTGTACAGCTGGTCTCACTGCTTTCTTCTTCTCTGCTTCTCTCTCTACTTGTTCAGCTGTATGAGGATAAGGCCTAGAAAAATGACTTTAACTTTTCATGCTTTTCTGACCAAACTGGCAGATTTTTAAGGAAAAAGACTGTGTCATGTTCTTTTTGTATGTGTGTGATGTCCCAATTCCTAGCAAAGTTCTAGGCATACTGAAAGCAGTAAATAGATGCTCAGTGAATATCATAGTAAATACTTTGAAAGAACCATGAGAATCACATAAAACACCTGAGAATGGCATTAAAATTTATTATGATTACACACACACACACACACACACACACACTTGTGCACACTTGTTCCATTCTGAAGAGACCTGAAGAGAGTGTCTTGCTTCCTCATTTGAAAATCAGTTATAGCACTTTTCTTTATCTTGGCTTCCTGGTTTATCTTGTGAAAAGAAGAGGAGCAAAACAGACAAAAGAAATGGCTTTGTACTTGAGTGTGACTGCTATAAGAAGATGATGAAGTATTACTAGCAGAGGGAGAATTACCAGCACATCCTTAGGCAACATGCCCTTATGAAATCCAAGGGAGAAAGGAAACAATTGGGTTTTGTTGTTGTTGTTTGTTTTTAGCTCTTGTTCTTATATAGCTGAACAGATAAAGAGGATATAGAAATATTTTTTCTAGGATCTATAATGAAGCTACTTGCTAGTGAATTAAAATGAACAAATTTCTTACAACATTTATATCTACTTAACTATTGCACTAGTTAAGTTCATATATATATATATATATATATATATATATATATATATGTACATATATATAGAGAGATGTGTATTTATATGACATATATCTATCATATAAAATATAAATTGCTTTGTTTTTTTCAAGCATTTATTGTATCCGCTTAGCATTTGTGTTAAGTGACCTGATCTCAGGCATGTTTTTAAATCACTTTGGGCCACAGGTTGGATGAATAAGTGATTGCTCAAGTCTTTTCCTCCTGTAACATTATCAGATAGTGAGGTGAGTCTGCAGATCAAGAGTATCTACCCATGAATGGGGTATAGTTCTGATTTAGAGAGTACTATAATAGATTTCAGCTGCAGAGCAGAGGATCTGCTTAAGCAGTACACCCTTGAAAACAGTTGTAGGGTGAGAACAAGCGGCAAGAGCAGTAAAAGGATCTGAGTTGACCTAAGGAGAGTACCCAGCGGGAGCTGATTCAGGGAATGAAGTTCCTTCTGCTCTGACGCAGAGGAGGGAATACAAGTGACCTGGTCCAACTGAGAGATCCTTCTACCCCAGCAGATCCTGTGCTATTAATATCTGCCAGCTGCAGGACCAGAGCATCCCCCTGCTGAGATCAAAGGAGCCCCTATCTTAGCTGGAACAAGGTCATCTGCACAGGGCTGTAAAAGTGAACCCTGGCTGGCTACAGGGCCGTCTATGAGGGAGGAGAAGTCAGGAGATGGGGAGGTGCTCTCTCACGCTCCTTTAATCTCAGCTGACCAGCTGTTGCCCTCCCAGTGTTTGTAAAGTTGAAAGTTCTTTGTTTTTGTTTTGCTCCCCCACCCCACACCCTTATTAAAATTGTGACTGGGTTGTAGCTTGGATTAAGTAGACCCAGTATTCACTGCTTAAGTCTATGGTATGATTTCCTTCATTTAGGTTCAGTTCCACTGTTGAATTATCCAGCTCCCAGGTGGGAGAGCTACAGAAGGGAGAAGACCTCAAAGGCAAAGGACTTCCTCCATGTTTTTCCTGCCCCAGAGCTTGTGACTTGAGAAGAATTAAAGGGGCAAATTGAATTTTCCCTATTTAGTTAAAATAATTCTTCATTTATGCTGTATGCTTATAAGTTTGTAGCCTTTTATTTACAAACTTTCTCATTTATTTAGAATAATGGAACTTCTAGGACTAATGCAAACTGACCAAAGTCCCCCCATCCCAAGTGTGTTTCTCACACTAGTTTGCATACACTTCTGGTTGTTTATGTTGGAGAGAGGCAGAGAGAACAAGAGATAGACTGACAAGACCAGAAATTAGTATAGAGTAAGAAACAGACAGTAGTACATGAAGTTATAGATATGCCAAAAGTATCAATGCTAGAACTTCTGAAGATCCTGTTAATTTTATTTGTTTAAACTAGGACAATATCAGCCACAAGGTTATTCTTCCCACTCTATAAATCAGAGTTAAAATTTCATTCATGGGTGGATGCTCCTGATTTTCAGATCCACCTTATGAACTTATAATGTCAAAGCTGGCAAAAACTAGGAATGTTCTGTTCATCCAACTTATCATTTAACAGGAGAGATGGGGCCAAAATAAGGATTTGGGGTTTCATATTTTATATTGTTCTAGACCAGACACTGTTATTCAAACTATTTTCTCCTTCAGTTTTTGTTTTGTTGGCAGAAACTCCAGCATGGAGCTATTATGGTTATCATGGAGTTATTGGGTTATCATGGAGCTCAGTGACTGTAACTGTTTTGTTTTTTAGCCCTTGCCAGCTCTTTCTTGTGATCACAGAAAATACTAAGGACAGTCAAATCTCAGTCATAAGGAATCTCTCTCTGTTCCCTATAGTGGTCAGTAAAGAAAAGATCTAAAAGTCAAGCTGGCCTAAGAGGGCATATCCTATTCTGAAGTTGCCTGGGATTTGAGAACTGGCTGAGTCTCCATCTACCAGGCACAGTTAGTAAGATTGTAGCAAGTTACAATCTTGCACAGATTGTAGCTCTACTCAATCTAGACATTTAATTTTCTTCTGATGCTTTAGCAGAGTAGCAGTTACTTCAGTGTGGTGACATGGCCCACTTCAGGAGTTCCAGGTGGCTTCATAGGAAGGAAGACGTTATTAGGCTGCCATCCTGGCATTCCCAGCACCTGGCACGTTGGTATCTTCCTATCTGCATTAATAGGTTTTGACAGATTATAGTACATGAAAACTAAAAGTACATGGAAGGGTCAGGGAAAGAACACAAGAAAAAAGCAGTGCTTACTAGAACCAAAAGTGGTTTCTAGTTTTAGTGCTGGGAGCCTTTCTATTCTGGTTGGAGTCAGGAGTTGATGGACTGATTTCATGTGCAAGAGAAAGTATTTTGGGATTCAAATTCCCTAACAAACCATCCCTGCAAAAAGCTGGAGTCCATTTGAAAGATTATATGCAAGTGTGTGGCTTATGTCTCTTTTAAAATAAATTCAGCAAGCAAGCACAGCTCAGAATGGTTGGGGTGAATGGGGGACCTATGGTTGTGAAAGAAGCAGACTTCAAAGCATGGTATGAATTTCCAAGTTTTATTTCCACTCTTGCTTTCCAG